CGACCCTTTGACTCGTGTTGATCTAAGAATATATTGGTTGATGAACTTGCTGTGTTTTCAGGTGATTTGTGACCATATGGGGTGGGGAGTTAAGACAGGACTGCCTTACATATGGCACAGCAAAGCCAGCAACCCATTCACCAACCTGAGAAAGGAGTACAAAGGGATCTTCTGGCAAGAAGATCTGATCCCGTTCTTCCAATCGGTCGTCCTCCCGAAAGAATGCACAACGGTTCAGAAATGCTACATCGAACTGTCGAAGCTAGTGAAGGAGAAGCTCGGCCCCATCGATCCCTACTTCGTTAAGCTCTCCGAGGCAATGGTCACTTGGATTGAAGCTTGGGATGAGCTCAACCCTGCTGGAGACGCCTCCAAGTAGATTTCATGACTCTTTTGCTATCTTTTTCCCCTTCAGCATAATTTAAAGCTTAGAATGTTTGCTGTGTTATTTGTTTTTGTGTATCCTTTCCTTGCCAAACATTGAATTGAGATCAATAACATGGGTTGCCCCTAATCGAATAGTGTATCGGGTATTAGACGTTGATGCCACATGCCACTTTTTTATAGGTCGAGAATATGTAATAGACTCGTGGGTCAATTTTTGATCGCTTGAGAATATGTCACGTGTCAGATTCTAATAGGTTGAGAATATGTCATAAACTTCTGGGTCAATTTTTAATGGCTCGAGAATATGTCACAGACTCTTGGGGTCAATTTCTAATACCGCTTCTAATAGGTTGAGAATATGTCACAGACTTCTGGTTCAATTTCAAATAGCTCGAGAATATGTCACAGACTTTGGGGTCAATTTCTAATATTGCCTTTTGGGTCAATATCTAATAAGCTCGAGAACATGTCGCAGACTCTTGGGTCAATTTCTAATACCGCTTCTAATAGGTTGAGAATATTAATTGTACCGAAAATTGATATTTTTTAATAAAAAAATATTAGTTTAAATATATGTAATTTTATAATTTTATTGATTAAACCTCTAAACTACAATAAAAGAATCAATTGAAGAAAAAGAACACTGAAAACCATGTCCGAAATATAGCAAAATATGGAAATAAAATAAACCAAAATTGGATGAAATTAAAATGAAGCGTGAAAAAAGAATTCGCCGTTGCCGGGGATCGAACCCGGGTCACCCGCGTGACAGGCGGGAATACTTACCACTATACTACAACGACATGTTTGAAAGCCGTTTGAATTTTAATTAATTTATTTATATTGTGATTTTTATTTAATTTTAAAATCAAATTTTTATTTATATTAGAGTTAAAAAATTTCTAAGCCAACGTGGATAAATTAAAATTTTAAAAATTTAATGGTCGGATTTACTCGTTAACTAAAAAAGAATAGCAAATTAAAAAAACAACAAAAAAACGAATATTTATTTTTAGTAATTTATTAATTGAAAAAATCGCGTGTAATAAATAAATAAATAAATAAATAATTTCACAAGTATCTTCCCAGACTGCGTGCTAGGTACGAGTACACCAGCCCACTCATTTCTTTGTTCCCTCTGAAACTCTGAAGTTCGCCTCAGATCCGATCGTCGCCGGAAGGTTTGCGCCAATTTCTAACCCTTACACTTAGATCTTCTCTTACCTTCGTGTTTTTGTTTTCTTATCGCTCATTTCAGTTTCCGAATTCACGTTTTTGCTGTCATTGAACCAAGGATTTCATCTCAATGCGTGATTGTTTTAGCGTCTTTTTGCTCGATTACTTAGCGGTATACGATTGTTTGTTTAACTTCACTTGCATTCCTTGGCCAGATCTACTTGGTTTTCTCTCTCTCTTTTCTACTGCCAGATGTGTGCGGTTGGAACTGTTCTCTTTGCTTTTAATTTGAGATCGAGGTGTTGTGATGTTTGTTGGTCCGGATTTTCCCCTAGCTCTTTTTGTATTATCGTCTATTACCTCTTGATTGCTGCACTGATCAGATCTTGGTTATGCTTAGGGTTTGTTTGGCATGGCCGATTTTGCTAAATTGTGAGCGTGCTCATGTTTATTGATCGTATCAAAGATTATCAGACGATCTACAGTAAATGTCTACATTTTAACTGTTTCTTAGTTTTGGGTGAGTGATCAAAATTTGAGTTGTGTATTTAGGGTATAAGGCAGGTGGAACGTGCCTCTTGCGCTCCTGTGCAACTTTTTGTCAATAAATATGAAACAACTGTAGTAGGTTGACAGAAATGGTGGTCGTGTTTTGAAATTGATGTAATAGCTCCATTTCTCATGTTCCATGTCTTTGCTTTGGTTGTCTTCTAGGATCAATATTTTATTTGGAAATTTATTGCTCTTAACATATCCTCTTTAGAGCACGACAACACCTTTACAACTTTCTATTTATTGTGCAACGTAGGTCATGGTTGTATATTCACGATTAGGGTTGTTGTTTTACTTATTTAGAGGACAATCTTTACCTCAGCAAATTAGGACTCTTTTGGTACATGCTGAAGTTAGAGAAGTCCCTAAATGGTTATAACAAAGCAATGATTAACATGGAAATATGGATCGAGTGTGATGTTCAAACATCAATTTCAACATTTTGTTTCTATATAGGCTTGATTTCTTACACTATAACTCGAGATTCAAAATTTTCTTTTGATTCTTGGATAAGTTATATGCAATACATAGATTTCTAAGCATGCTTTTGAGGTCCTTCAGCCATGTAGTTTCACCCATTTATGTTCTAACCTTCATTTATTTTTTTGTTTTCCATTTCTTCTGGTTGGAAGGCAAGCTTCTGAGTTGTGACATTTGAAAGAAATCAAAGAGCCATGGGCCGTGGAGTTAGTAGTGGTGGTGGGCAGAGCTCATTGGGGTATCTGTTTGGAAGTGGAGAATCTCCCAATGCAGGGGCCCCCAAAGGTGGCCAAGCACCAGCTCCAGCACCAGCACCAGCACCAGCACCAGCACCAGCACCACGTTCTAATGAAGCAAAGCCTGTATCCAAACCAGCAGCTTCCAAACCTGCTGCTACTGCTTCACCACCTACAGATTCTGGCAAGCAGATTCCAGCTGGTATTCATAGTAGCTCCTCAAACAACTATTTGAGGGCTGATGGTCAGAACACTGGCAATTTCATAACGGTATGGCTACATTTAGGATTATTCTGCAATTGATCTTGTCTTACCTAACTACTAGCATGTTGTTGATAACTGCTAGGGAAGTAATTTTGTTTCAGTTTAACATGTTTCAAATACAGTTTGTTTGGTCTATCAACGAATCTTTCTATCCAATCTAGACAATACGATGGTCAACTAACCTTACCACTCACTTTCCTGTGTGCCCTAATGAGTGTGACATTTGACATGATGTGTCATTCAGTCCTTAAATATTGCAAATACATACTGAATATTTTGAGTATGACATAGTGCTAATCCTGAGAAAAAGAATGTTTGTGTGACCATTCAGTTAGGTGTGATGTTAAAATGTTAATATATGGGAGCAAACAAGGAAAATGTATTACTTGGATTTGGATGTAAGTAATTACTTTTAGACCACAGAATTATGTCACAGTCATGTCTAGATAATAAGAGCATTGTGCAGCCGCTATGATAACCCACTTGCTCATCTTTCTGTTAATCACATTTTAGGCTGTTGTTTCAAATTCTTCCATTTTCCTGTCCCATCTTTGAATTGTTGAAGACATCATCATATCCATGACTTATCTTCATGATTATTTTCTCAAATTGCACTCAAGGACGTCCACATCTCTTCAGCTTGTTTTACGCATATGTGGTCTTATCACCCCACACAGAGGAATAATTGTCGAAAATCACCCAATCTAGGCCAGACACAAAAGAGGAAGAAAGCTTTGTTACCCTGATATGATAACTACTGCAAAAAGAGCATCCTGGCAAATTTGTTTGAAACCAACCCCCCCTATAGAGTGATTGATCGGCTTTCTTTTGTGGGTGCAGGATCGGCCTTCAACCAAGGTCCACGCAGCTCCTGGCGGTGGATCTTCTCTGGATTATCTGTTTGGTGGTGCTGGTGGAAAATGAAAGGCTACCAAATCATAACTAAATAGAGCCTATTTGACTATCCAATTTATGTGAATTTTATATGATGTTGAAGTTGAAGTTGAAGTTGAAGGGCAATGTTTTTCGATCTGAAATATGATACTATGGGGCGGGACGATAACGATATGCTTTACGATGTGTAGATGCTATGGTTGCTGCTGCTCTGTTGTTGGGTTTTATTCAATCAAAATTTTTATTTTGGGTTCATGAAAAGCTGTTGTGGAGCTGTCTGTGTCTGTCAAGGGATCTTTCTTACAAGTAATGCATAACTTTCTCTTTTGCTTTGCCCTTATGGCCGTGTGTGTTTACTCAGATTATGACCACATTTTGATTGAAGGCCACCCCTTTTGAATACTATGGCTACTGAAACATGGGTCCTTTCCTTCTGTGCTTTCTATTTCATGAACTTCTTGTTGATTTGGATGGGTAACAGGGTAATAAGAACGATGAACATACAGAACATGGATTATTGGTTTTATTAAGTTCATAATTAATCCTTTTGCTAAGTAAAAATGTCAGAACTAATCTCTTTTTATCTTTATTATAGATTCAAGGAATTAATTGTTTTTTCATACAATTACATGAACTATTTTTTGTGGGTTACTTTATTTTTTAGAATTAATTTGATTTTGTGGTTGGAATTTGGCTAAAATCTAAATGTTTCATATTATGAAAACTTGTAAAAAATTGAGAGGAAAAAAAAAAACAATTTTTAGTTAAAAATTTACCTTTCGTGGGTGAGTGGAAAACTGATTAGAAAATAACTTTATTAAGTGTAAATAATAAATAATTTGAAGATCGAACAACTAAGTCGTTGTAGTATAGTGGTAAGTATTCCCGCCTGTCACGCGGGTGACCCGGGTTCGATCCCTGGCAACGGCGATTTCTTTTTTGTTGCCTTTTTTTTTTTTGTTCATCGTGGATTTTACTTTTAATTCCAATAATTTCTTTTTGATACCTTTCACTTGGGTGGTAAGTTGGAACAATGCATTCATACACCATAATTTTACAATTCAACAGGAACACGAAAACATTGCAAAGAATGAGAACCAAAATTATGGGATTATGTGTAGATTAAACCACAATTTAAGTCCCGAAACCACCCTAATCGCCATCCCTTAGCACCTTTCATTATCGGTCTCCGCTGTTCAACATCAGTCCACTCATCGCCCACCTTCTGAATCTGAAATTTCTTGTTGTTCTTCCATTTCTGCATCTGGGTCTCTTTGTTATGTCGATTCAAGCGTTTTCATTCTCATAATTATGCCAAAAACAGGTCAGTTCCCTTCCTTTTCCGCTGCTTTTATCTGGGTTTTGTTTCATTCCACCGTTTAGCTGAAGATCATGTTCGTAGTTTCCCAGGATGAGCTTCTTTAACTCGATTCTTCTTGTCGAATGGATGAGCTCTATTTTGTTCCTTTCTTTGTGGGTTTTCAGAATAATTTAGACCTAGCCTCACTCTTTCTAATACCGTCCATTTGGTTGAGTTTGTTTATCATAACCTTAATTCTTCATGCTCAATCTTGTATTTCCCTAACTTTTATGTTATTAATCTCAATGTTAGTGATGTAATTCAGCCTTTTCCTGTAGGAATCTTGGCTTTTCAAGAACACTTTCATGATTCCTTAAGTTTATTTTCAAAGTTTCCAGCAATTTGAGGCATTAGCTACTTAACTTTTCGACCCTTCGCTATCGATATCCGATGGACGCTTCACGAGGATCGTTGTTTACTATTCCAAATCCACGCTTTTGAATCATTGCTGAGTTCTTGATGCAGAAGGATATGAACAATATTGGGGTAAAGAAGAGAGGTCATGGGAATCGTTCTTGGATAAAGATTGATCAGGAAGGGAACTCAGAGGTTTTGGAGCTTGAGAAGGCTACTATAATGAGGCATTGTTCTTTACCTTCAAGAGATATGCGACTTTTGGATCCGCTCTTCCTTTGCCCGTCCACAATTCTCGGGAGGGAGAAGGCGATCGTTGTCAGTCTCGAGCAAATTCGGTGTATAATCACAGCTGATGAGGTGATTCTGATGAACTCCTTAGATGGATGTGCTGCTCAGTACAAGGCAGAGCTGTGCAAGCGTCTCCATGCAAGTAAAGATCAATCAGGTAAAGAATTATGTTTTACAGCAATACATTGTGATTTGGTTATCAAGCATCTCATTTATAGGATAGTTTGGTTATAGTGTTTGAAACAATAAGTATACGGTTTACTCCCCGAGAGGCGAGCTGGTCGTAGGTTCGACCGTTCGGTTCGATAACTTAATAGCATGAGACCCTTTTCTGTCTTTGCCTTAGGAGTGGTGATGCCTCTAGAAGATTAGTGGACTTTGGTTATTAGGACAATGTTACGAAAAATACATCCTCGACACACAATGGCAAGGTGTCGGCCCCGATACTTGTTATTCGAAAACAATATAATTTTTTTTTTTAACAAAAATGAATAAAAGTTAATACTGATTAAAAATGGTTTATAGTTCATAGACTTCAAAAATTCCCTTTAGGCCTTTTGTTCGGTTATGAACGCTCTCTTATACATAGTAAAACTATGTATAGTAAAGGTATATATATGGTAGGGGTAAAATTATTGTTATATATTGGTAAATATAGTAAATTGAATCATATATATATATATATATATATGGTAGATGGTTATATCTGGTAAACCTATATATATATAAACTGAATTATATATATATTCTCATATAAAACTATATATGGTAGATAGTTATATCTGATAAACCTATACATAGTAAACTGAATTATATATATATATATATTCTGAGATATATGGTAGATGGTTATATCTGGTCAACCTATGGTAGATGGTTATATCTGGTAAATCTATACAAAGTAAACTGGATCATATATATAGAGTGTTAATTTTTCTCTATATTGTACATACCAAGTCATCAATATAAACCTTTTGCCAATATTTCTACTCTGTATTTTCTTTTCATCTAGATTGATTGTGTGCGTTGTTGTGTGATCCTAACATCTCTTTCCTTTAATGAACAAATAAAAAGAGACTGTATTTGGAAGGAACGTAGGTTAGAAGAATGAAAAAATGTTCCTACTTTCCTAGTAAGAACAAATTAATGGGTGTCGGGCAAACCGTCATTGGCAACTTGGTCTCGTTCTTTCAGATTGGAGTCCATTCTTGTAGTTAGTGTTGCGACTTCATTTGTTGGCTTGTTTTTTGTATGCTCTTGTATATTCTTTCATCTTTCTCAATGAAGCTAAGTTCTTGTAACAGTCCAAGCCCACCGCTAGCAAATATTGTTCGCTTTGGCCCGTTACATATCGCTGTTAGCCTCACAGTTTTTGTGAGAATCCCACATTGGTTGGGGAGAAGAACAAAACACCCTTTATAAGGATGTGGAAACCTTTGACGCATTTTAAAAACCTTGAGGAAAACTCGAAAGAGAAAACCCAAAGAGGACACCTGAAAGAGAAAGCCCAAAGAAGACAATATCTGCTAGCAGTGGACCTAGGCCGTTATAGTTTTAAAACGTGTAGGTTAGGGAGAGGTTTCCACACCCTTATAAGGAATGCTTTGTTCTCCTCTCCAACCGATGTGGGATCTCACAATCCACCCCTCTTGGGGGCCAGCGTCCTCGCTGGCACATTGCTCGGTGTCTAGCTCTAATACCATTTGTAATAGCCCAAGCTCACCACCAGCAAATATTGTCTTTAAAACGCGTCTATTAGAGAGAGATTTCCACACCCTATAAGGAATGTTTCGTTCCCCTCTCCAACCGACGTGAGATCTCACACTTACCTCCCGGACTAATCATGGTGAATTTATTACACTAATACTAAGATTAAATATATGGGTTATGTTCAGTTGGTGGTAACTTATGGCCTTTTTTAGCTGCTTAGTAAAACACAGCTTGTATTGTTTTTGTGTGTTGAACCGCCACCAAATGCTCTGTTGAAAGAATGAAAAAAGAGTGTCGTAGTTGTAGCTGCTTATGATGATACTTCCCAATTTGTACAGATGATTTGCCCTTTGAATTTAGGGCACTGGAGCTGGCGCTGGAACTTACTTGTTCATTTCTTGACACTCAGGTATCTCTCTCGCTGCTACCATTGCATGTGTACATTGATATCAGCTAAATATTCAATCTGGTATATTTTTGGTATTGCTCTGACCCCGTAATCCGACCAATCTGGACTACCCAACCGAAACCATAAAAGTTGGGTTGAGTTCGTTTTTTTCTTTTTTTGGTTTGGGTTGGGTTCAAAATTCAAGTTCGGTTTATGGGTTGACATTTTTTGGTCGGGTCAACCCAACCAACCCGAAAATAGGGTTACAACCTAACCCGTATCCTACTTGTAAAAAGATTAAGTCTAACGTTTGTAATTGATGTTAGTGATGTGTGACTTGTGCATGTTTGATATTTGAATTTTACAAGATTTTAGTTGTTAATGTAATCTGAAAATAGAGGGTTGGGTTGAATTGAGTTGGAACTCTATTCGGGTCGGGTTGTTTGTGTCACCAACCCAACCAATTTTAAATTTTGAATTGGTTCAAAAGATTTTTCCAACCCAACCCGTGTACACCAAGGAAAGGAACCGAGTTTTAGGTTTTAAATATGAGAGTGAATACTCCTTTCATCTAAGAGCATATAGAGGACCTAAATCTTCACTCACTCCTTTGGACAGCCCATTGTTATGCCAGCAGGATAACGAGCTTGAAACGTGGAGTCCGAGCGACCAGTGAGCGAGTGGTTAGTGGCCAATAGCCCCCTAGTTAGTGGCATTACTCTCTGCAGCTGGCACTCGAGGAACCACGGGGCACTCCATATGGAGCAAGCAAGTCTTGGGGATGAGATGCTCACGCAAAGACCTTAATTCTCATTAGGAGGTCGAACCAAGGACCTTTGGTATTTCCTTTGATCATTAAAAAAAGCAAAAATGGCGGAGAATGGTGTCGATGTAGTCCGATGGGAGCCAGACTTGGAACGACAATCCGTAAAAGAACACACCTATATGCAGATCTACTAAAACAAGGCAATAACCAAAAGGAATTAATGGATAGCTCAGTAAAATGGATATGACTGTTATGGATGGTCCGATACTAAATAAACACGTATCACCATAATCTCTGGCAACAGCCATTACTGGTTTATGCTGACTTAGAGCTACTGTTATGTACTTCTAAGTTAGGAATCCATATTCGAAACAATTCTTACTGTTGTGTTAGCTGGTCTTTGAACTGCTTTATCTTCTTCGGCTCGACAGATGAAGGGGATGGAAATCGAGATATACCCTCTACTGGATGCTTTAGCGTCTTCAATAAACACGCTTAATCTCGAAAGAGTTCGAAGATTTAAAGGCAACCTTCTGTCCTTGACTCAACAAGTGCAAAAGGTAAGTATCCCGGAACTTTGTAATCTTTTGCAACTACGTTTTTTCGCGTCGTTGCATTATATATTATCATTTCGTGTCAAATATCAGGTTCGTGATGAAGTCGAGCATCTGATGGACGATGATGGGGATATGGCAGAGATGTTTCTGACAGAAAAGAAACAAAGATTGGAGGCGAACATCCGAAGTAACTTGTATCTCGAAACTAGTTTCTTCGGGAAACCAAAATCTGCTCCTGTTTCACCAGTGGGTTCGACCAATGGATCTTATAAATTACAAAGGGCTTTTAGCAGTATTGTAAACTCGAGCAGCTTGATGAGTTCATCAAACGGTGGTGATAACGTCGAACAATTGGAGATGCTGCTCGAGGCGTACTTCGTGGTTATTGACGACATGCTCAGTAAATTGTTATCGGTATGAAATATTTTCATTTCTTTAGGTTCTTGTATAGCAGCGTATCAGTGAGAGCGCTTAGAAAACGACATTCAAACGTGCTGAAATTGAAACGTTTTTGATGAATTATGCAGCTCAAAGAATCTATAGATGACACAGAAGATCTGATCAACATTAAACTGGTAATTCTGTGATTTCTAAGATGCTTTATGGTTAGTTAATCACATGGAAATGCAAGAATGAATGCAATGGGAAGCTTCTTTCTTTGTGGATTAACAGGGCAACGTTCAGAACCAGCTGATACAATTCCAGGTGCTTTTCACTGCAGCTACGTTCTTGGCTACGATGTTTGCAGCGTTAACTGCAGTTTTCGGCATGAATTTTTCCGACGATGTCTTCGAGCATCCGACTTCTTTCCAGTGGATAGTTTACTTGACCTTGATTGCCTGTGGCCTTGTGTTTATCTCTTTTCTATTCTATTTTAGGTACAAGAAAATCTTCCCATTGTAATTGAGCTGCAGTATGTACCTCTTTGTACCTCTATGCAAAATGAATGCAAAATGAATATATATAGATCGTTGAGTTATGCTCAATTTGACATGCAATTTATAATTCACAAGTACCCAGCAAAATAGGTCGGGTAAACTCGAGTTTTCCAACTTTAGATTTAGCACACCCGAATTTATTAAACTATTACAAACATCTCCTAAAAATCAATACCATCACTCAACTTTCTCCACTCCATTCAGTAAGAAGTCAATCATTCAAAACAAGATATCTGAAATATCAATAGATAGAGCTTTCATGGCAGAAACAAAGACAGAAAAATGACATTTCATCCGATAATAAATAGTTGCTGTGTGTCTTGCATATGATTTTATGCATACATGAAAGCATCGGTTCGTTCGGCTAGACGAAACCTGCTAAAAAGGCTTAATATTGGTAATATGTAGATGACGATACAGCCTAATGCACCAAACAATAAGCAGAGAGAACTTGTACCATTCGTTGCATGGTCGAACACCGTGTTACGAAGCCAGTGTCGTGCTGGGGCAACTATCAACTGCACAGGCTAAAATGTCCCTATAATCCCTTGATAGTCTGAAAGAATCATAAACCCTTCCATCACTACTCTTCTTGTACTCAAACAAAAGGTTTGAATGGTCAAATGCAGTAAGCTTGACAAATCCATAATCATAATCTCTGTAAATACTCCATTTTGTTTGGAGTGTGATAAATGGTGAAAGGCTTGCACCTCCACCACCAGCAACGACATGAATTGTTCCATTCAAGGCGCCCTTATAGTAGTGTTTCTCATCGTTGGTACAAATATTCTGTGCAAGAAATGGAAGGCAATGCATTAGCTTATTGCATGTTGATGATTGTACTTACTATATAGTCTGGAATTTATAACTAAGATCTATATGGTCACATGAACACTACTATCAAATTTTCGCGAAAATTAGAACTAATACATGTATATTTCATAGTTAAACAAAGGCAACATGGGGAAAAAGAAATTATTGCAACAAAATTTAAGAATACCTGGTAGATGGGACATGTTCTCTCGTAACTATGCACATGGCCATATATAGCGAGATCAACCTTATATTTCTGCCAGAGACTTTGAAGGCTCTCACGGCCCATTGGTTCTGAAGATGACCCTTGCTCAGCATAAAATGTGCAAGAAGAGTAACCCAACACACGATGTGCCAGAAAAATTAGCCATGGCTGCTTTTGCCTATCAACAGATGCTAGACAGTGCTCTATGAACTTATATTGTTCTGTTCCCTCTCTCCAGTCAAGCTCTGTGTTGGCAACGCAGAAGCGAAACATACCATAGTCTGAGACATACCTGATGTAATAGGTATATACGTTCAACTGAGGAATTGTTCATTAAAATCTAGAGAACAATGAAAATCTGGAACAAATATGTGTTCATAAAGCCATAATTATATTTTTTGCTTTACATAATCAAATGTTAGGAGATAAGGTTTCAGAGAATATTGTTCTACGGTGTGAACAGGCATATTAAAAGAGCAGCTCTACAAGCAACACTAAAATATCAGTGAAATCAAATTAAATCTAGTCGGAAGTTATCAAAACAAGCTTCATTACCAAAACTTTTCCCGATTCTCAGCAGGGACATAGAACATATTTTGAGCCACTACACCACATTCTCCCCCTGAATCCATGGTGTCATAGAAGGATCCACTCCCTGGCCAGTCACGCTCATGGTTACCACTAAAACAACATATGATCAGTTGATAAAACAAACAAGAAAAGCTAACTGCCAGACAATGTGTAAGTCAATTAGGGAGGAAGTACCTAGCAATCATGTAAGGCACTGTTGATGCAATTGGCCCAATTTGTGCAGTGAACTGATCCCACTGAGAAAGATATCCATTCGCATAACATATATCTCCAATGTGGAAAACGATATCAATATTTTTCAAATCTTGTATAAGCGTTCTAGTAGTATTGAGAGAGCCATGCTGGAAATCGTTGAATTCATTAGAGCCATCAGCTTCATCCTGTGCAGTATATTACATAAAGGTAAGTTCCAAAGTCTTTATATGGTCAATGGTCATGAGCTAAATGAAACAATTATGTTTGCCAGAAAAGCAACTTTTGGATGTGCAAATATAATTATCGTTGCTATAAAACATTTTGTTTGAACTTGTTTTTTAAGCATATAAATGAATGAACTATTGAACATACTTAATTTGAATTTAACTATGAACCTTTGCTGTAAGATGTTGCAGCATTCAGAAATTCGTAGATAGCTTTTTTTTTTTTTCATAAATAACTTTTTTATGATTTTAATTAAATCAAATAGTTGAGGAGTCAAACTTCTATGTCTAACTGTGTGAGTGTGTGTAAATGTTCTTCACATGATTGTGTCTTCCTTTCTGAAAAGCTACATGCCATTCTGTAGCTATGTCCATACCATAATTTAGGAAACATTTACTCGATCGTTTGTATGCTAAGAAATTACCAAAAAAAGTTCTTCATCTCAGTGAGTTCATATCATAATTATGGTTCATGGGTTTGTAAATGTAAGAATCCAGCAAAGGGTCCAAACCTTTCCCATGTCACCAAAAATAACAACTCTTTGTAACGAATTTTGACCAGGATAAGGCGGGGCTCTGAACTTATATGTCGAGCTCCAAATATATGAGCCATTGGTTAATCTATGTCCCAATTTGTATGTATACCTACAGTAAAGAGTACAAAAGATATTAGCAGTCAGAAGTCTGAATAGCCACCCTCTCAAAAGGCTATTGTTATGTTGTAATTTCTTTTTGATATTTCAATATAGTTTTTGGGTTGCTTTCCTATAAATGGGATCCTAACAGCGTAACGTTCATATGCATATCAACGGTATAAATAATCTTAAATATCCTATTACATTTGGAGCTGTTTAACGGGATGATCTACATATAGCTACGAACAAAAATTTGGGATTCATATAGCTTACTCATTATTGGGCCACAATTCCTTGAGAAAACTGGTGTGTATAAATCCAGGGTCCCGCCATCCCACTGTCCTTGCAGGTGCACCTAAAAAGATAATCTATGAGATGAAACGCCTTTAAAAAACATGAGATCAGAAAATAATACGACAATAGGAATTGAGCAGCAGCTACTAAACTACTGTTTGGCAGGGAAATGTAGCATATCTCTTATAAATAGCTGTAGCAGATCTATATTTAAGGAATTTACATACCACACATGCTGTTACGATCAAAAGTCAGTGTGCCCGCTGGGGATCGCATAAGGTCTTTTCCATTTTGGCTCCACTCAACCAAAGGTTCAGCCTCATCAATTCCGTATCCACTTGTCCATGTTACAGTCATCTGAGTATCAACGGTTAAACCATATCATCTTCATATAGATTTAACTAACAAATCAAAAGCACGAGCGATTATCACAAACCTCAAGAGCTGGTAAACTAAGGGAAACTAATGCTTGGTTGAAAATTTATCTATTCACTAAAAATAACCTAGAAAACCAGTTATGTGAACGCAATTGCTAGCTTATACTTACTTCATTCCAATCTTTTCCTTGTGCCAAGCGTGGGTAAAGTGGTGCATCAGGATTTGCAAAAGTTACTCGGTTTGATATTGCCACCACCTTCGGCTAAATATGAAAAGGGAATGAATAAGATAAAATGTATGCAAACAAACTCACCAAAACGTTTGCCAAGGTTAAGTTCAATTATGAATATTTATAAAGAAGAAAGCAAGTGAAATTAGCTAACACAGATGATTGTATGTTGATATGATAACATTGTTCGGTGCATGAGACAAACTGTCGGGTCTATGCACACTGATACGACAACTAAACCAACTTGATAGGAAGGTTGATTCTAAAAGATACAACAATATGCCATGGCCAACTTAAATAATTTTAAATACTAACCCTAGATGTTCATAACACATAAACATCTATCATCACAATGATAGGATAGGTATTATTCACTTGGGAGGCTCAATTCCAAGGAGAGGGGAAAAGCAAGAAAACAAATCCCAGAAGTAAAAAGGTCATAATAGTTGGGTCCTCATTGATAATGGCAAGTATTATTCACTGTAAGTTCTGGCTTGTGAGCTTACATTTGCGTGATAGTGCAAGAGTTCAGAACACAATCCTAAAAGCAGTCAAGCAGAAAATGAATGGATAAGATCAAACAACACAGGAATGTTTTAAAAAAAACTTTTTGTTGGTATCAAATTTATTGTCCATAGATATTTTGAATACATGAAGTGAATGAAACCAAAAAAAAAAAAAAAAAAAAAAAAAAATCAGCATACTTTTGCTAAACCACCAGAAAATAATGCGAACGAGAAGTCGGATCTCTGGTTTATCAGCTGAAGTTTCAAAAGCCCTCGTCCAGTAGTTTTGTACTTGGGATTTGTGTAATTGGCATACAGAAACTGCAATAAACTTCATATAATTAGTTGGCTATTGAACTCTCTACGCTGCAGAGAGAGGCTAAATATAGACGAAATTCATGAAACAACTTAAAAATCAAGTGGAATTAACCTTGATAGGTGCAGAACACAATAATGGTGGATACACTCTTGGATTATCCATAGGGCAGGAAGAAGAACTGAAATGGAATAACAAAAGTTTGCATTCCATCAATGAAACAATCATACTAGCATGAAATAAACACAAAAATGCTTTAAAGAAACTCAAGATTGAAACCAATGCAGATAACCTGAAATTGGCTGGAGAAAATACTCCAATCCAATCATCAGAGGACGGGTTTGGAGAACTATACTTCAATGTAACCCATTCTGTATTCTCGCCCTGCAACAGAAAACAAACTTTCTAAATCAAAAACAAGTTCTAAACAAATACATATTAGCTTCCAAGATTGGCGTTTCTATAGAGTTAAAAACACGATCAGCACTGAATTAGACCAAACCATAGGGCATTGAAGCTTGCCTTCAATCCAAGAACAGATGGAGAGGCTTTAACACCAGCATTTTCATTAAGAGCGAATGTAGATTTATGAATGGCAATTTTCGAGAAAGGATGGCTTCCATGTGATTTGACTTGTTGCAGTGCCGCTAGAATCCATAATATTCCCAGGCAGAGAAATTCCAAGCGTCTCATCACAACCGATATCTGAACTGAACCAAAACACCAGAAATCAAATCGGTAAGAAGATTTTAGCAAACTCCTTACCAAAAATGACGATATAAATTGTGCAAATCAATGAAAGTAAGTGGAGAACAGATCAACATGACCGGAAAAAAGTCAGTAAAAACTGCAAGTAAACCTCATCCTTACAAAGCAGTAAATCGGTACAAAAAACAATCTCCTCCACTTGAAACCAAGCTCTCGAGCACTTAGCTAATCACTCAAGAAGCGAACTCAAAAATCATACTCCATATCGAAATTAGATATGGTTTAAGAAAACCGATCAATAAGTACCTGCAGAAGAACGAAGCTGAAAAGGATCGGAGTTCGAATTTTGACAAAACTTTGGAGGTGCTAGAAACTGTCCATTGTCGACGACAGAGCGGCTCCTTCAAATTCGAATTCAGTTGTAGCGGATGATGAGAAACAGCCATTAGTGAAGAGCTTTAAATAATCGAAAGGTGTGAGGAATCTTGCAAGAAGATTCCGGTTATCTCCTGTTCTTACACTATAATTGCGAGACTTCTGGTCGCCGGAGAGTTGACGCCGTCGGTCAAACTTGTCACATACCATAACCCACCGTTTTACCATTTACGTGCAAATTAAGATAATTAAATTGTAATAATTTTCTCTTTTAAAAAAGTTAATAACTGTTTTTAAAAATAAAAAGGTTAAATTTTTAATAAATAAATAAAAAGTTGAATTTTTTATTTAGTGTTATTACAAATTCCCACTAATTTTGCAAATAAAAATAATTAACTTATGTAATAAAATTAAAAATATTCTAAAATTGAATATTTTATTTAAATTTACATCTTTTAAATATTTAATTTTAGTTCATATACTTCTCATAACTCTTAAAATTAATTAAATAGATAATTATGTGATAAATTTAAAATATAAATATTTAATATTTTTAATGTTAAAATGACCACGGCTGTCATCATTACGCGTGACAAACAAGATTTAGAAAAAATGATTTGTTGTTTTAATGAATACATTCCTTTTAAGAAAAGCTATTGCAAAAGTTTTTATTTTATTTTCCCTTTTTAAATAATTCAAATGTTAAATTTTTTATTTTTTTCTATATAAAAATATATATATATATATAAATGAAAGATAAATGGACGAAAAAATTGTCAATAGTGTTCCTCAACAACAGTGACAACCAAGATTGAAGGAAAAAATATGAAAAAGGTCGAGAGAGTGGGTCGGGGCTACACATAAATTCCAAACCTAACGGGTGAACCACATACACGAGTCAGCATACAACTAGTACTTGAAATACTGAGTTTTTAGCACTTAACTATCAGATTTTTGTTATCACGTGTTGCAATCACGAGCGGATTTCATCAAGTCACTCGTGGACACGGGCCTAGCTAATCTATTTTTGACTTCTTTTTTTTTTCTTCATTTTATTTGTTTTATTTATTTAAATTGCATTATTTATAATAAATAAAATAAAATTATGGAAAAGAAGAAGAAATTATAAATAAAAATTTGAAGGGCAAACCACAATTTTCGCGCATCAACCAAACCACCACTCCCAAACGAATCCAACGGTTCAGATTCAGTTTAGTTTCTGCCCATTCCCTCTTGCTTTCTATATTCGCTTATTCTTCTTTCCTTTTCCTCTGGTTGTCTCTGTCTTTTTCGCATTTCTGCTCCATTTTTGCAGCTTTCTGAAACCATGTCTTCGTCCGAGAAGGAGAGAGAGACACAGGTCTACTTGGCCAAGCTCGCCGAGCAGGCAGAGCGCTATGACGGTATGGTCGCTATTTGCTTTTCTACTTCTGCTGCATTGTTTTTCTAATTTGTTTTGTGTTCTTTTCGATTTTTGATTCTGTTTGTTTTTCCGTGTTGTGTTCTTTTTGCTTTTGAGGTGCGATTTATGAATATGTAGGGAATGATCTGTTGTTTTGGTCTGGATTGTGATTTGTGTTTGGAAATGTGGATGGAAAATTGTTGATGTTGGTTTCTAGGTTCTTTGTTTCCTGTACGATTATCTTAGCGTTCGGCATTGCTTCTGATACCGAATTTTTGTTGTTGAAATGATAATTGATTTCGACCTCTTGCTTCGCTTTTGTGCTTGAGAAAAGTTATCAATTATTGGATCTTCTGCATGATCGCTGTGTTAGATGCTCAATATTTATCTGATGCCTCGTTGATTTCTTTGAGTAATTTGAGGATGTTTCATATCTGTGAGGTGGAATTTTTTTCTTTATGGAGTTGATTCATTCATCCGATGATGCAGAAATGGTTGAGTGTATGAAGAATATTGCAAAGCTTGATCTCGAACTAACTGTGGAGGAGAGGAACCTTCTTTCTGTCGGGTACAAAAATGTCATAGGTGCACGACGAGCCTCTTGGCGCATCATGTCTTCAATTGAGCAGAAAGAGGAGACCAAGGGAAATGAAGGCATTGTAAAATTGATAAAGGGTTACCGCCAGAAAGTAGAGGAGGAACTTTCAAAGATTTGTGGTGATATTCTCTCTATCATAGACAAGCATCTAATCCCCCATTCGTCCTCTGCAGAAGCCACTGTCTTCTACTACAAGATGTGAGTTGTTTTGTTACTATTAATTTCAACTTTGACGCTCAGCATATTTTTCCTCATTGGGTGAGTAATTTATATGTTTGGAACCTAGAAAGAAACAAAAGAACGGCTTGTTATACTCCGAATCCAAATGATACAGGTTTAATACCAATGGATTTCTGTTTTCCTGTATTTCTTTTTGGGATATCAGTGGCTTTTGATCCCACCCTGTATACCACGAGGAGACTTTACAGATCCTAATGTTGGGGTTATCTGTTTTAATTCATTCTTAAAATCTGTGAGATAGGCCATAGATAGGTTGATGGTGAATATTGATTGATGTTTCTGTTATCTTGTCCATCCTTTTCTGTAATAGTATATGTAATGTGTACAAATATGATCATAATGTGTTTTTTTAACAAATATTAGTATGCTGTTTGTAGTTACATGTCATAGCATGCATGATTTCAGGAAAGGTGACTACTTTCGCTATCTTGCTGAGTTCAAGACAGATCAAGATAGAAAAGAAGCTGCTGATCAGTCATTGAAGGGATATGAGGCATTTATTTTCTCTATAACATTCAAGCTCACATTAGAAATACAAAACAATAACTGTTTGCTTCTTCTAGATTAAAACATTGCCTCCTCTGCAATTATTTGAGGTGCCCTATTGCCATTTTTGTAACAGGCTGCCTCAAGCACTGCGAATACTGAACTCCCATCAACCCACCCCATCCGGCTTGGCCTTGCTCTCAATTTTTCTGTCTTCTACTACGAGATTATGAATTCTCCTGAGAGGTATTATTAAGCCTAGTTTTCAGTTATCGTATTAGATTGAAAACCTTTACCCTCGTAATGTAATGAGATTCTTCTTGCAGAGCTTGCCATTTAGCTAAACAAGCTTTTGATGAGGCAATTGCAGAGTTGGATACCTTGAGTGAGGAATCATACAAGGACAGCACTCTAATCATGCAACTGTTGAGAGACAACCTCACCCTCTGGACCTCAGATTTGCCTGAAGACGGCGGTATATGTCATAATTGATTCTAGAGTAATATCTTATTGTTTGTCCATATACATAGCATATTGTTCAGGATCTGCCATCCACAGTTTTTTGTTGATTCTCATATAACACTTAAATGCTGAATTTAACCATTATTGGTTGGCCTAGTCGTTAACAACCAGAGAATGGGTCAAGCGGTCAATCGACCTAGAATTTAAGATCATACCAATTATCTTGGCAACTAATAGGGTTAGATGATTATCTCATGAGAATAGTCAAGGTGCAAAAAAATCTACCCATCACGGATATTAAAAAAACATGTAGTTATCTTGGCAACTAAATATAGTAGGGTTAGATGATTATCTCATGAGAATAGTCAAGGTGCACGTAATCTACACCCGGGTCACTTGCACGGGTATTGTAAAAAAAATGCTGCATTTGAGAATTTCTCGTACTGTCTCTATCTGATAAAAATTTCATCTGTTGTTGCACATCTACTAATTTATGAACGACATCAGGTGAAGAGAACGTCAAAGCTGAGGATTCCAAGCCTGTTGAACCTGAGGTAAGTCATTTGAAGTCCTTTCCTGTTTCAATCTTATAAATTCAGTTTCTACTTTCTATTACTCTTGATGACTTCAAACTGGTTCATTACTTAGCCCCAGCAAGCGAAATGAGAGAGCCCCTCTACACATCATCTGGAGATCGGATTTCTTTCCAAAGAGAATTTAAAGAATAGCTCTACGGTGTGGGATTGGACTGCACTATCAGATTTCTTGCGGCGTTTTTTGTATTCATTTGATCCAACTGAAGCTGGAGTTTTTTTTTTTTTTGCCAAGCTTTTGTTTCAAGTTCAAATTCAAATTCACCTCTTCTTTCATGTTGTTGATTCGTAAAATTAAGTGGATAATTGAATCATAACTATCATATCTTATCTCTATTATTGTAATATGATAGTATCAAATATATCCACATACTTATCATCTATTAGACACTGTCAAGCTAATTAGACATGAAATTAAAAGTTTAAAATCTATTAGACACCATGAAAAGTTTTAAGAATGAAGATAGACCTTAATGGAAGGGCCTAATTAATATTGCCTAACTTATTAGGGGTGAAATTGAAATTTTACAAAAATTAAGGACTAAAAAAGACCTTAAATCATGATTTAGTACCCTTTGAAATATTTAGCCCTTCATTTAATACGATCTTTTGTCCGGCTCAAAATTCGAAAAAAGTAACCCGAAAGATTGTGACATTCTCTCCCAACATTCTCCCGTACTTAAACTAGTAAGCGATTGACTAACTTGGGGGCACAATCCAAGAGACAATTTGGCCTGCAATTTGTAGCTTAAATGATTTCATCCGTAACTAAAGAAAATTACCATTTACACAAAAACTACTCCTAGAACTAATAGCACTAGGCACCGTTCTGGCTCTAGCTTCAGTTCCTACCCTGTTACCAAGTGAAAAAACGAAAACTATTGTATGCATTTTGTCCTGCAAGACACAGCCCATTCAGAAAACTCAGCACTACATATCGTCATCGAAAGGTCGAAAACTGCTGACCAAGGCATAATCATTAATTCGAGTTGGCCATATTATTCACCAAAATCAAAACTACTGAACTAAGTTTTGCTTCTCTAATTTCCTCAGAAGACATCAAACAAATATATTAGAATCTAAAATGGGGGAAAAAAGGCATAATCCTAACATTCATCCCGCCAAGATTAAAATTCGTAGACTAGTAATGTACAAATATAGGACAACATTTCTTTATGAAGAGAAACTTTGGCAGGCTTGGCATACCAATTAGTGCAGAGCTCAGATTTTCCAAGTAGGAATGTACCCCTGCAAAATATCAAACTAAATTTGATCAACTTTAAAATTCCCGTAAAGTGCACCATTCTTAAGCTTTTAGTTAAGAAGATGATGATTATGTTTGGATTATTTTGTTTGCGCATATTGTTTCTGCTGTAGCAGTTACCTATGCAACATAATTGGTGCCGAAGTCGAGATTGAACAGCATATCCCTGCGATTCTCTGTTCCCATTCGAATTTTGAAACTTTTGGCCTGGTAATCCACCCGATCATTACTATCGTAATCCATCTCTCGAATACATCGCCTCCTCACCTTTTTCAGCATTTGTTTTGAAGGTGCAAATCCAGCAATAACCTTCCAAGAATGTTTTGTGATGTAATTAGCACCATCATGAAAGGAAACACAAATATACAAATATATACAAGTTAATTAAAACAACGCTTTTACCATATCATCAATTACAGAGAGAGCAGATTTGGGATCTCGGTTAATGAGATGAGCATCGACAAGCAATGAATAAGATGTTGCATTTGGTTTGACGCCCAAACTTACTAAATGTTCAAACACCCTTGCAGCTTCAAATGTCTACAAAGTGGCCATAGTAAGTCAGCAAAAATTTCAGTTTATATGGTCAAAATAAGTGTCATGTCCATAAGAACATGTAGAGAATATGTAATGCTTCACTATGCATACGGTACCCCTTGCACCAAAATCATAGAAATTGAACCCGTAAACAATGCTTGTTAATCTTTTTTTCATCCATCAAACATTGGTCCAGTCCATGGAATCTCAGCAGTTAATTATACGTGTCTATGTGCGTGGAGGGGTACATAAAAGGTTAAAGACTGACCTTCTTAAGCTTTCCAAATGCGTACATCAGAGCGTTGTATGAATGGATATCGGGGGTCAAACCAAAGCTGGAACTAATTGCTTCAAATGTTTGGTAAGCACGATCGAGGTCCCATATATTTGCACAGCCTAAAATCACACAATTCAATGCAGCAACAGACTTGTAAGGAGGATCTGCACGGCTCAAGTTTTCCAGTTGAAAATAAACCTAACAAAAGGAGAGAATATTAGAATGGTAACTCTGATGAATTAAAGGAAATAAAACCACTCGGCTACCATGAACTTCTAAATTTAGTTAATGAATATCACATTTCAAGAAAGGAAGCATGCTAGGCATATAGTAATGAAACACATCACATAAACCTTTTAAGTGCATGTCATGTGAGCGAGACAATTGCACTACATGTACCTTTGGTTGGCTTTTATCGTAGTTATCATAGTTAATATTCTTCTCGATCTCCCACCACATAATTTATTATCGATAAGAGCCCATACATGGCACTGTCAAAGAAAGCTACTGCAATTTTTAATCTTTCAACTCTTAAAAGTGTATTTTCCACCTATCCTCCACCTCTCCATATTGGTACTGAAAGTTCATTGTTCAAGTTAGACTGCTGAAGTGAAACAATATGAATGTGTTGTTTGAGCAGTAATTTAAGATTAAATTTTACTGAAACACTTCATGTCCTGGTCATATATAAGAACTTTGCAGAAAGCATCAATCATTTCTTGTTTTTGAATAATGTAAAAACAATGCTGGGCCAATAAAAAGAAAATGCATGTACCATATTAGATTTTATACAACATTACTTATAAACAGAAAATGGAAATTGCAAATCTGTAATTTTTACTGGTAAAAGGTCATACCGTGTCCAGGGTCTCAAAACCCTTCTTAGAGCATGCCACAACTAATGGATATAAAGAAGTGAATGGGGAAAACATTTCTTCAGCAGCTCCATCATCAGAAGTCCTATAAGCCTCTTCAAACTCATGTAGGGTAGTAAAGGCCCTCTGCAGATTCCCAAATGATGCAAGAGCATAAATCTTTCCAAGGTAAGATTCAGGATTTGGGACCTTCTTTTGTCGCAATGAGCGCTTTAGAATGGCCCAAGCTGCATCTAAAAGAGAAGAGCTGTAGGTTCTACCTGCAGTTCCAAGAGCAGATACAACTATTCCTTCATCCACTGAAAGATGAACTGGAGGCCTCGCATTTTCACCCCGAGCAATCCATCTGGCCATAAATTCGAGAGCATAATAAGCTAGTTTACTATTATCCTCTTGCATTGCTACTTCAGCAATATAATTACACAAGTTCCATGTTGGGCAAAGAGCTTTATTCTGAACAGTTGCCTGTTACACCATCAAGAAAAGTAATGAAGCAATGAGCAAAAAACTATTTTCTTAGCCATTAATCGAACTGATCTATTACCTTGCACCTATCAATTACGGACACCAATGTGTCCAGCCTGCCTTTTTTCACACAGCTCCGCACACATTCAGTGAACACTTTCAACGACAACATATGACCTGATTTTAAGGTCAAATCAATATATTTCAAGGCAGCATCAATCTGATCCGTTGACAACAGCATTCCAATTACCAAATCATATGATTCATCATCAGGCATTGACTCTCCTCCTGTCTGCAACATACTGATAACAAAAAAGAAAATAACGTTTAAAGGCTCCATATTCAAACTATGCGAACTTGTGACAACAATGCTTTAGTTTTGATAAAGGCCGCTATTCTTGTAGAGAACATATGCTAATTTATTTTTACAATACATGGAGTGGGGGATTTGAATCTCTTTAACCTTTTGGTCGATACATGCCCTATAGCAGTTGAACTATGCTCATGTTAGAACATCTGCTTAATTGAATCGACTGTTATAAAAGAGTGCATTTGATAGTAAATCAGGCAAAGTGCAGTGCAAATCTAAGGACAAGCTTTCATACAAAAAGAAATGACAATGAAGAGTTTCACAAGTTCATACACGGTCGCCAACTAAATTCATGTTTCTGCCTGGTAGTTTGCAATCCTGCAAGTTAAATCTCCAATAACAGGATGAGATCAAGATCAATAACTAAACGTATAGGGTAATGTTCCCTGAAAGTTGAAATCTCGTGCAGATATTCACTCGAAACAACCATTATTGTCACTCGGCAGTATTCTATTATCATCAAGTTTTGCAGGAAGGACCTTCTATAAATACTATTATCAATCTACGCTATATTCGCAAGACTTCAAACTTCCCATTTTTGTATGAGTAACTTCAAAGCATAATTCAAGTTACAAGGATCAAAGCTGCACCCAAACAATGTAAAACTTTTAAATCCTAACGAACAAGCAATAATAAAGAGGCTAATCCAGAGAGGAACAAAAGCAGTTGAAGACTTTCACATCTGTTGAAAATTGAATGATGAATATGATTCAAAATCTAACCGTTCAATCAATTTTTCGGCAGCTTCAGTCTCCCTAGCTTGGTACATCGCCTTCAATACTAAATTGAATGATGCACTGTTAGGTGAGATCGCATAGTCCTCCATTTGGGCCACTAGATCCAGAAGCTCCCCAGCCGTGGCATTGACCATCAAATTCGCCCTCAAATAATTGTTATACAAATTAACATCCGGCTTATTAGGCTTGCCATTCTTATCCAGCGACCGAATCCAAGACTCAAACAACTGCTTCATATCATCCCAGCGCTGGGAAGCCATCCAATCAGCAAACACATTCAACAAGCTCTGGACATCGAGCGTTTGAGACAATGCTTGAATTCGAGAACTGGGGGATTGATTAAGGAATCCGAGGGGGATCAGAGACTGAGTCATAGAAGCGTTGGGGATTGGATTGCGCCAGTTCTCGTTGTAAAGAGGGCTACCAGAGGCGGGATTCGGAGGAAGTGGAGTTGAAGGAACGTCCACAGGTTCATTGGCGAGCTGAGATTCTTGAGAGAGAAATGTGAAGGTGGTGATGGGCTTGAAGGAGCAGACATTGTTGAGGTTCGAGTTTCTGATTAGAGTGTGAGTTCGAGAGAGAATCGCCATTTTTGACGCCATGAATGGAGCATCAAAGCTGGAGAAATGGCCTTCACAGTGAGGAGGAAGAAGAAATGGCGTCAGTAGCAGTTAGGGTTTTGGCACTTTGAGCAATAGAGACGAGAAGAAAGCCATCCACAGGGGTCCAGGTTTAAAAGGGTAATATGGTAAATTTCAAGTCTAAATATCCAAATAGCCCACTGCCCGTGCCCGTGCCCGTTCCCCGAGGCATGCTCCTT